TGTCTGCATTTGCTTACAGAACATTAATATATTCTATTAGCTGACCTGGCATACGATTTGCCGCAGTATTGCGAACTATTTCTGTGGCTCTGAACGATGTCATTTGGAAGAATGTTTCAAATCAAGCTAGCCTTTCAATAGTTCTGGTGTTGCTTCAATTTCAAGTAGTTGCTCTAATGAAAATCTTACACAGTCACAAAACGCGTTCCACACATACAAATACAAATAAATTAAAGCATTCTTAAATATGTTTAAATTTGTTTAAGGGATATTTGAATATTGTTCAAAAATAGGTAGGAAGGTGAAAAAATACTGTATGACATATTCGCATACCTACTAAATATACAAACAAATTTGCATAAAAATCGGCTTACCCTTTTTGTTTTAGGTGGCAGCCCATCGTCATATGAGCATTTTGAGAATGTCTTTCATGCTACATCAGTCCAAATCCTTGGATATGAACCCAGCACAGGTAATATATTTAATATGAATAATTTAAATATATGAATAAATAAAAATATTATTTGCATTACTTGCATGGTCCAATATAATATTCGATTACGAATCGGATGCTTCGGACCGCAACAGCACTTCGATCAGTGATGTCTCCATGGGGGTGCCATCGGCGAGTCGACACCGTCGAAAAAATTATTGTACTCGACGAAAAAAAACAGAGAGTGATGCAAAAATTCACCGTCAAATGCTGTAAACCTATAGAAATAAATGAATATCATTTGCATATTTGAACTTCATTGAACTTTTTATTCATACAGAACTATATATAAAATGAAGCCCCAAAGTGTGACTTCAGCCCTTATATTCAAATTCGCCCCAAAAGTTGATGAATAGGTTGCTCTTGCTCCGTATTGATCTCTGCTTCGCGCTGCTGAACTGAGAAACTGTCGGAACAGTCTGTATACAGTCCAGGATACAGCAATCCAAACAATTTTTTGGACAAGCTATAGTTAAACGTCTTTTGTTCCGGAGTAGCTTATTCAGAAAAAGGGGTTCATTACGATCTTTGAAAATGTTAATGCCAAATCTCGTAAAATTATAACTAATACTTCAGCACAATAATAGTAATAATTTATTCATTTTCGCGGGATAGAACCGACTCATTAAATTTTCTATTCAGTTTAGATGTTTCGGAAGTGTGTGAAAATCTGTAAAAATAAAACACCATTTCTACTGCATTTTGAGATCTCGCTTGAACTTCAATATGACTGAATCTATTAGGGAATTTTTTTCGCGCAATTATCATCATTATATCGTTTAAATATGCTTCCCTCGTGATCTTCTCCTGGGTGGGAAATTTGCTGGCAGATACGACTTACCTTGTTAAGCAATTATCACACCTTCCAATAATATGCGGCAGACAATAGCTTGGGACACGCAAAACATTTTTACGCGCCAAAATTTTATTTTTGTTTTGCTAGTTTTTGTTCTTACTAGAGGTGAGAGTTCACATGATATTCGGAAAATCAACTTAAACGCCACCATAACTCAACTTTGTGACAAAACTAGGCCCCTGTGCTTATCAAACGTAAAAAAACTGAATTTTTCTAAAAACTGTTAGCTCAACGACTCAAGCCTGGAGTAAATAGGGTATTACATTATTAGAGCAAGTTTTCAATGCAAAATTTCCTGTGCATGAACTAATATTAAAGCAAACTTTAGTTGTAACCAACAAATAAATTAAAAAATATAAGCTAATGCTGTGGACTCTGTTACCATTCTTCTAATTGTTGTAGAAGCTGTTCCATCTCCTTCTCCTCCTGTTGCTGCTGACGCTGCTGCTGATGCTTATTCTGTCCCAACGTTTGCGGTAGTTGAGAACGGAATCCACCCCTTATTGATCGTTGATCTCTGGCCGCCTTTTCTTTTGCCTCGGCCGCGGCACTGGCAGCCTTGCAGGCCTCCTTCTTGGTGTTTTCGTAGTCAATCTGGGCGGATTTCAGTTGCTTGAGCAGCATCTCTGTCCGGGTGCGAGCGGCGTTAACGAGCTGGTTCCTCTCGTCCAGCTCCTGCTGGGCTCCTTTTGCCGCTGCCGTTGCGTGGCCGATATTCCCCTCGGCAATCTTGACAACGGCGAGAAGGGCTTGGTGAAGCAACTGGGCCTGCTTGACCGAAGCGGCGGCCGCTTTGACATTTTCCTCAGAGCCGACCAGGGAGGCGACCTCCTCCTGGGCGACGGCCTCGGCCTCCTGCACCTCCTGTTGCAGCTGCTCGACAATCTGCTGTTTACCTGCCAGTGCCGCCTCGGCCGCGCGGGCTGCCGATATGGCCCTGTCGGCGAATTGGGTCTTGACCTGGCGAGCGGCCTCCGCCGCCGCTGACTGCTGGGTGTCGGAGGCTTGCTTCGCCTCCTGGGCGGCCTCCTGGGCAATGTTTGAGGAAGTTTTCTTCGAGTTTTTACGCCCCAGGCCCATTAGCGAATTACCGTCACATTGCCCCATATTGTTCATTCTCCTTTGCTAAACGGATTCGCGGATAAGACTCAAAGGTGGGCAAACAGATGCACTTCGGCTCACCTGGCACTGCTGACGTTGCTTCCGCTGTTGACGTCGTTCTGGCAGCTGGTAGCTCTGAATGGCTGCGGCAGAGATTAGCAGTACGTAGACGAAGACCAGGATGCAAGGCGGCGCAAGGTGCATAATTATGTGAGCCTTCAAAGTTGCGGCAAGTTCTCCGTTCCAGCTCGGGCTCAAACATTTTTACATTTCAAGTAGTTCGCTAAGGCAACGTGGAGAGTTCCATAGAATGAAATGTTTAACAAAGTTTTTGTTAGGAAAAGTCAGGGAGAGTCGTCAGGAAACGGAAACGAGGGATCGATGGTGGGCGGTGGTTGCGGGTTGGGCAAGGGCGGCATAACTTTTCCGCGCAATTTAACTTAACGTTCACGAGTTTCTCATTTTTATTTTCTTTCTTTTGTACGGTCTTTTTTGCACTTTTTCTTTGACATGAAAAGTAGACTAACAATGCATGTGGCAACGTTTTTTCTTTGCTGTTGTTGAACCAAAATTAATTGGGTCGTCAAAGTCCTTCAGCCCGCCGATAAGCTTTCGGCCTTATCAAAATGGCAGCTGAGGAGCGCCGAGAGAGCACCAGAAAAAGAGCCGGCGAAAAGTTGGAATAAAAATGAGGGAAAACCCAAGACGATTGCTTGGGTCATTTGTGCGTTGATCTGTTAATCCGGAAAGGGTTTGCCGGGTTTCCCAGCCTGAAAGCTGCGGATTTTCCTCCCATTTGATTGAGAGTCCTGGACTTTTGTCGATGGGAAAAGGCTTCGCTCAGCATTAGAAGACTAAAAAAAGGTCTCTGGCCACAGTTGCTCAGTTTATGGCTCATAGACAAGCCAACATAGACAAGCGTATGCGTAATAAAATCCCCAACTTAAAATTCCACATACATATACATATGTACCGTTTCTCTCCCAATTAGAGATAACTGATATTTTTAACAGTTTAAACTATTTATGTGGCATGTGCCAAGGCAAGGTCCACATTTGGGTCCCCGGCGTCATGGAGTGCAGCTCCATGGACACACTCACTCGGCCTTGTTCACGGACCTCGTCACTTGCATCCGCCTTTTTGCGTATTCAAGTGTCTGTGCACAAGTGCTCCATCGCCCCCGCATCTCCACTCCCCTCCACACCCTACACACACACGCCCCAAATGACACTCTGAGTGGGAAACGTGGCGGCAAACCGCAAAAAAGAGTCTCCTAGAAGGAGGAATCGATGTGCATGAAAATTTTGCCATCAAAATGCTGGCAAAAGACCTCAGCCACATCGAAGCTGAAATTCTCTAATGAGAAATTGTGTTTTTGGAGAGAATTAATGGATTAATTAATGCTATAGGCGTTTCAAATAATATCTTTAAGATTGATCTCCTCCAATCACAAGTTAGTGGGTTTCCCTCATTTAGGCAAAGCGAATAAACATCCTAATATTACGGATTTTATTTGAACTTTTGGCAATATTCCTGATGTTACAACTTGTTTTTCGCCAGTGTATGGCTGCCTCGTAGTGCAGTTCCCTGCCCCCCAGACCTTACCATACTAGAGGCCATATGGACTGGTCCACAAATTCAATTTCCTCTGCAGTCAGTCCATCGAGCAATGTCCTGTGCCCTGCTAACTGCCTCGTCTATGTGGTGATGCGGCGATGTGCCGATGCCATGTCCTTTTGGTGTTTGGACGTCCCACCTACATACACACATATAGATGATGTACTCGTATACAGGGTATATATAACTTGTATATATAATATTTATGCCACAGTAAGTGCTTATTGATGTCAGATCTGAAATTGAAATCTGTTTGAGGCTTTTGTTCTTATTTCGTATGGATCCACGTTGCAGTTAAGGTTTCGTTTCGTTTCGTTTCGTTTCGTTTTTGGTTTCAATGGTTTTGTGGACTCTCAATTAAGCAAGTTGGCATTTCTGACATGTCTGAGCTTCGACTGAAACCGAAACTGAAACCGAAACTTGATGCATGAAAAATTGGAAATACACTAGTACATCCATACGTACATACACGTTTACGTTTATGCATGCACACGAAATATTTATAAAGTCAGACACAAGGCCCATCTCCCAGGAGAAACCAACGAGAACAAGAATGGAAATGGGCATGGGTATGGGGGGGGGGGGATGTATTGGGGGGTATGGGGGTATGTGGTATGAGGTACAGAAGAGGAGCAGGAACTGGGGTGGCGGTGGGGGTGGGGCCGTTGAGGCCACAGTAAAATTTAATTTCAATGCATAACCAAATTGAATTTAAGCAACAGGAAAATTGCTCGCCTGGCCACAAAGGTGCCGCATGTGGGCGGGGAAGGAGCTGAAAGAGTAGGCTAAAACCACGCAGAGTGTTTCAAGTTGAAAGTTTTCACCTAGAGTAGAGTAGAGTAGAGTAGAGAAATTTCTCAAAAGCCAGCCAACCACAATAACCCGAAAGTGGAAATTGCACGAGTAGCAACATTTTCGAGAGCAAAGAAGGAATTTCAAGAGTTTTGCCTCAATCCACAGGAAATGCTTTAATGTTTCGAAATGTTCGGTGTGTGTCTGTACTTTGTTTCAGGGTGCCTACTTCTGGTTGATCATCCAAACAAACTCCTCGTAGTTTATCAGGCCGTCCCCATCGAAGTCAGCCTCGCGTACCATATCGTCGATCTCCTCCTCAGTGACCTTCTCACCCAGGTTGATCATCGCGAAACGGAGCTCTGCCGGCGATATGAAGCCGTCGTGGTCGCGGTCAAAGATCTGGAAAGCCTCTCGCATCTCCTCCTCCGTGTCAGATTCCCGTTTCTGCTTGTTCATCATCTGGCAGAACTCGTTGAAGTCGATCTCGCCATTGCCATCGATGTCGACCTCGTTCACCAGATCCTGAAGCTCGGCCTCGGTGGGGTTCTGGCCCAGGGACCGCATCAGGATGCCCAACTCGCGGGTGGTGATGGACCCAGTGCCATCCTTGTCAAACAGGGCGAAAGCCTCCTTGAACTCTGCAATCTGCTCTTCAGTGAGTTCGGTCATTGTTTGTGATTTTTGGTATTTTTACTAAGAGTTTGGTAGGTTTTTAATTTGTTTGTATTTGTAATTTAGTATTGCTGTGGATTTAAGCTGCTGGTTGTTGTTGACTCAAAACCAATTGTGATACAGAATTCTGTGAATTTTGTGACCACATCCCGTTCCGTTTCGATGTAACGGCAACGCCTGCCCAGTTCTGATCTCTCGGACATCAACTTACAAAGCCTACGTAGTCGATGTTTTCCTCCTTATCGTATAATTTTCTTCTTCCAAATATGTCCCTATATGACAAAACACCGCATCTGCTCTGCGGTCATGTCCCTCCTTATCGAACAACTTTAATGAAGCAATAATCTCGTCCTTGGGTGTCATCTTGGACATGACGTATAGAGAGTCGTCCCGCAACATATCGATTTTAGTTCTTTCAAGTGGAAAGTTTTCATATAGAGCAGAGTAGAAAGGAGTAGAGGGGAGTAAAGAAGTTTCTCAAAAGCCAGACAATCCTAAAGTGAAAATTGCCCGAGTAGCAACATCTCGAGAGTAAATAACGAATTTCAGGAGATTTTCTTCAATCCACAGTAACAGCTTTAATATTTCTAAAAGGGTGTGTGTATCTGTATTTTTTTTTTCGGGCGCCTACTTTTGGTTGATCATCCAAACGAACTCCTCGTAGTTTATCAGGCCATCTCCATCGAAGTCGGCCTCGCGTATCATCTCATCAATCTCCTCGTCGCTGACCTTCTCACCCAGATTGATCATCACAAAACGGAGCTCTGCCGGCGATATGAAGCCGTCAAGGTCGCGGTCAAAGATCTTGAAGGCCTCGCGCATCTCCTCCTCCGTGTCAGTGTCCCGCATCTGCTTGCCCATCATCTGGCAGAACTCGTTGAAATCGATCTCGCCATTGCCATCGATGTCGACCTCGTTCACCAGATCCTGAAGCTCGGCCTCGGTGGGGTTTTGGCCCAGGGAGCGCATCAGGATGCCCAATTCGCGGGTGGTGATGGAGCCACTGCCATCCTTGTCGAACAGGGCGAAAGCCTCCTTGAACTCTGCAATCTGCTCCTCAGTCAGTTCGGCCATTGCTTGTAATTTTTTGTCTATTTACTAGTAATTTTGAATATTTTAGAATTACTGTTGCTGTGGATTTCAGTTGCTGGTTGTTGTTGAACCAAAACAAAATTCGAAACTGAATTCTGTGAGTTTTGTGACCCTCTCCCGATCCGTTTCGATGTTCCAGGAACGCCTGCCCAGTTCTTATCTCTCGGACATCATAGTCACAAAGCGTACGTAGTCGATGTTGCCCTCCGTATCGGAGTCTGCGTCACGTATGATCTCCTCGATCTCGTCCTCCGTCATTTTATCACCCAAATTAGTCATTATGTGACGAAACTCCGTCTCTGCTATAACGCCAGTTCCCTCCTTATCGAACACCTTGAATGCAGCAATAATCTCGTCCTCGGGTGTCATATCCTTGTACATCTTGGACATGATGTATAGAAAGTCGTCCCGCAACATATCGCCGGATCCGTCCGTATCGATTTCAGCATAGATATCGCTCAGTTCCAAATCCGTGGGAAAGACGGCCAAGGCACGCATTAGGTACTTTATCTGTTTCAGTGGCAGAACTCCCGTATTCTCCGGATCGAACATATCGAAGACCGTAGTGCAATCCTTGCTTTGCTCATCGGTTAGCGTATGACTATGGCTGACCCGCTCCTCTGGCGGCGGAGTGCTAAAGTCAAACTCATCCATGGCAGAGGTCCAGAGAGCGCTGGCGTCACGGATCTATGGGGGTCTAACAAACGATCACTTCAAATTTTTAGTTATGTTTATTTCATATTGTTTTTCAATTCCATTTCATTTTGAATTTTGGGGCAAAGAGATTTTGTAAGACTATGCGGATGTTTCTCTCTCTTGAAACTTCTGAACAAGCGGCTTCTGCATCATGGCCACAAACTCGGCACAACTGATCTTGCCATCGCCATCGATGTCGCCGGCCTTTAGCATTCTTTCGATAAGCACATTCTTGGGTTGGATGTTCATGCTCTTCCACACATTGACCAGATCCTCTCCGCCTATGTAACCATCGCCATCCTGATCGAACATCTTGAATGCCTCGCAAAGCTGGCGCTTCTCTTCTCTCTCGAACCTGTCCATAACGAAGCAGAACTCTTTGAAATCGATCTCGCCATTCCCATCAATATCGGAGGCTTTAAATGTCTCCTCGAGCTCAGATTCCGTCGGATTCTCGCCTAAAGTTTGGACCATTACGCGTAGTTCGTCAATTGTGACCACTCCGTTCTCATTCTTGATCAAAAGCCCGAAACTCTTTGTGTATTCGGCCATCTGTTCCTTCGTTAGATTCTCCATAATGGCATCGAATGTATGCTTCGATTTAAGATCCATCGAGTGAGTCGATGAGCTCTGCAATTTACTAGTATTTTATTACTCTATGCTTTTATTGTTTTATTGCTTACATTTAGGTGGTTCCAAATTATATAATGTTAACCAAATTTTAGTTATTTTAAGTGGCAGTTTTTACTGGTTTTTTTTTATTTTTTGTATTAAAAAGGTCTATCCTATGTATGCATACCAAATAATTTTAGAAATGAAAAATTGAAACTAAATTGAAGTTAAATTTGAAGATAACATGATTAAGAATTAATTTTTGAACAGTTGACACCCTTTCTGTCCATTGCTCCGTTTCGATAAAGCAAAAATTTTGTGAAGACTGTAGGCTGACTGCATTGCATGCTCCAAAACAAACAGATATTTTCCCCAGTAAATTTAACAATTTAATTTACAGAATATTCAGAAAAAAGTATGACCTTTTTATAGCCTTTTGCCCAAGCCTCAAGCGCTGCGGCAGTTTAACAGCTTGGGTAATTACATTTTTAATTAAACGCGACGCAAACGCAGTTTGTTCCATTTTCTTTTATTTGTATTTTTATTTGGGTATTTTTTGTTTACCGTAATGTATTTCCCTTGGGCAGCCATTTCATGCCGCCGCTGGTGACCTCCTTGGACATTCCTTTTCCCCATATTGAACTTTACGTGTAAACTCGAAAATTATCCAATCCAAAATTTCGAAACAATTTGCATAATTTTCGACAACGTACAGAGGGAGAGACACACAACCCAATTGCATAAGCCTAGATCCTTGGACATCCTTTATCACACGTTCTCTCCCCGGCAGCGTCAATGGGATATTCTTGCTAATGAGAAGCAAATGAAGAAGCAGGGGACGGGGGACAGCTTAGGGACAGAGGGACAACGGGCCAAGGGCCAAAACTCGAGCCACACCCAACGGGAGATTGTCAAGCATTTCTGTGCATAGATTAGAGGTGGAGTTTTGGGCCAAGAAACAAGGATATATGTATGGTGTATGCAGCAAGCTCATGATGGTGATGTGTTTGTTGTTTGACTTTAATCAGGCGTAAACAGGGCGAGGGCATCCATGAAAATGACAACTGCCCTTTGGGTATTAGTATAATTTGCATTTGCGTTGTGCATCAGACACGAGCATCGCTGCACAAAAGGTTCCCCCATGCCAAAATCTGTTAATGTTTGAGCTCAGGGCAAGGTTCTCCTTAATATCAAGTATACGCCGCAGTGAACACCGTTCTTTGCGGCATTACTCGTATTGACTCAGAATGAAACCGGACAGGACAGTCCATTGATTGTTTTTCCTTCACCCGTTTCGACCCACTTTGACAGCGCCATTTCAATTAAGCATATGAAGGCGGAGCTGGCTACACAATGCCCCACTCCGAAATCCAATTGAGTGGCCAATGGCCAGTGGCCAGTGGCATACACTGGCAATCGCATCCGAGCAGCTCAGTCGCCATTCAATCAATCCGGTCGGGGCCGTGTCAGAGTGGCCGGCTCCGGGTCCAGAGCGGGCAGAACAGAGTTGCAATCTGAGCCAGTTGGCCCCGGCGTGGATTTGTCTATGCCAAAGCGTTTTCAATATGCGGACTCGGACTCGGAATCTGACTTGGTCTCCGGCTCACACACAAGTGCAGGCTCCGGAAATGAATTATGGCCAACGGCAATCCATTGTGGCCCGCAATGAGCACAGCCATTTGTGAAAAATGTTGACTGCCACGTCCAGAGGCATCTCCAACAGTTGATGCGGAGTTCCCTTATGTTTTGATTTTCAATCGTATAGCTGGCAGCCACTGGCTGGCTGCGACTGCCACTTTTCATTACGGCGACTGAAAGTGAAGTTCAGCGTCATCTTGTAGTCCTTTCTTATGCATATCGGATTCGCTCATGTGTATGCTTTTCTGCTTTCTGGCTGAGCAAAGCAAACAGTCAATGTGCTCGACAACGTACTTAAGCCGGATTGGCATGAAGGGAGCGTAGAACAAACCTGCTCCTGCACCTACGCCATCTATTGCCTTTTCTGTTTGTTTCTCCTTTGGTGGCACGTGGTGCGTGGAGTGTTTCAGGACCATGCCCAGGTATGATACGGAGTAGGGGTTGGGTCTTCTACTCAAGTACAAAAGCAAATATCCAAGTCAATGGCAGAATGTTGCCCTAAAGTGAAGTGAAATCCGGAAATACGGCAAGAAAAAGCCACAGGAAAGGGAAAACCACAAACCAAAGTTGAGTTTTAAGGTATTTGAGTTTATTTATCTGGGAATTTAGTTTCCATTTCTTGGAGAAAGAACACTCAGATCCATGATAATCAGCCTTAGCTCTCTGTGAAATAATAAATTAGTTTATTTGTCGCTCAAATGTTGCAAAATTACACAATCCTTCCTGTGTTTAAATTCAATATTTAAACTTCAACTACCTCTTTTGATTGTTTTAAAGCACTTTGAAAACTTTGAATTTTTTTAACAGGGAGTATTTTTTGAAAATTGTATGTATATCCTCAGTGTGGGAACTATTGTAAGCATTGTGATATGAGATAAATCCGTCTATAGGGCTCTGAAGCAATTTCTCAGAGACATTGTAATACTCACACCGAGGAGTATGGTATAATATTCCATTCTGGTAAACAGAAATCATTCCGTTCGATGCTCATATTATAAATGTAAATCCACCTTGGCTGGCTTTCTCTGTGTCCTATTATGCTAAGAGCATCTGCAGTGCTGAAACTAATCCTAAAACTTAAAATCCAATCTGGAATATAACTTTGTTTGACTTTTGTTTGTTGCCTTGTATTTTCTTCTATTTTCCCCCAAGATTTTCCTTGTTTGTTTTATGGCGCAAATTGCATTCTGTGGGTGTCAACAAATGCAGCTTTCTCTGCTGTGGGTCCACATCCACGCCTCCTTCCTGTCTTCACATCCTTTGTCCAGGGCCACATGAAACATGATTAAATTACTCATACGCCTCGTGTGTGCGTTTTGTGTGCATGGACAACAACTTCAATGGAGTTATTGTTTTTGTTGCTGGCATTTAGTTAATTAAGTTTTACAACAGCTTGCACACCCACCCCTAGGACACCCCACTGCCCCTTTAATTAGTTTTTAATTATTTCAGAGTTTTTCGTTGAACGTTTTTCCAAAATTTTCCAACGGGCGGATCCACAGAGAGCCACGACTCTACTCGTGTTGGACTTTGGCCTGGAGTTTGCTTTGAGTTTTAGTTAATTTTATTTGTATTTTGCAAGTATTTGCCACGCCCCCACACAAAAATAAACTAAGGCTTTTGTTCATTAAGCACATTATTTCTACACGCTTTGTTTTTACTGCAGTTTGTTTGTTCGCCTGCTCGTTTGTTCTGTTCTGTTCTCTTCTGATCCCTCTGTTCGGAGGGACTCTGGCCAAAGTTTTATGCAAGCCCATTAGCCTAATAGGCCAACCAGCAGTCGCAGCAGTCAGCCCTGGCTTATGTAGTATAATTAACTTTTGTTGCAGATTAATATAAAGAACAATGCAGTAAAGTTGCAAATATTCGGCAGCTTCGCTTACGAAAAATAGTTTCCATTACTAGAGTTTAATAAAGTGAACCCACTTTTGGCTTTCGGATGTACAGAATAAATGTACATCAACTTATGTAAGGGTAAAGTTAACACACAACAAAAAAATTAAATACTTTCCGAAGCTTTAAAGGTGTGTAGAGAGATAGTTTCCATTGAAGTTATAGCATTTGGTAGAGCTATTTTGTTTTATATATTAGCATATTAAAATATAATGTGATAACTTTGCTTCATATCTTTAGATACTTAAGATGAGATAAACTCACAAAGGTTAGCTTTCCGGTCAATTGTTTTTATGGCAGCTGAATTATGTATATAGCGATATGTCCTATCATTGGACATAGGGATTTCCGATTTGAAGTTACACTTTCAGCAGAGCGGAATATGCAACATTTCACCCTTCCAAAAACTGCTCTTTTTCAACATTTTCAGCTAGCTTCAAACCTGGAGAACATAAACATACGGACATTTGGATGGCCTGAGGTAAATATCACTCAATTGCCGATGTCAATCCTGTATATTAGATTGCAAATAATTTCCTCGTATGTACATTGCAGGCGTTGCTCCTGCAGGTAGATTTCAGCTAGAATATGTAAAAAATAAATATTAAATGCAGCATTTTTCATGGGAATTGATAATATTACTCCGTGTTTTTTCCATGCCTTCTGAAGAGACATCAGTTGGTAACATAATGCTGATTGAAATGCACCAGCAAAAATTTCACTTTATCAACTTTTGCATGTTTAAGCGTGTCCGTTTCGTGTACGGGTCCTTGTCTGTGAACATTTCCCTCCAACTGGATACAGCTCTGCATCGCCTAGAACAAATATTTACACGGCTCGCTGTATGGCATTTTCCATAAACTACCATAAAAACAATAAAATTCGCAATAAACCAAATGGAAAGCGGCAACTGCCGGCTCATGTGAAATGCATGCAACAAAAAAATGCAACAAACAAAAGCCACAACACAGCACAGCACAATTAAGCAACAAAACCAAACGAAACGGAACGAAACGTTTTTCATAACTTAAATTGCAAACTGTAGAAAGGGGGTAAAAGCGGAGAAAAAATCAAGTAAGAACGTAATAGTTGACATTTCGACTAAAAGATACCCGATAGTGCGAAAGGGAATTACCAGATAGTCAGCAATAGTAATTGGGGAAAAGTATATACTTTTTATATCTAATCCTATAATGCTATCTATTTTGTATGATCGGGAGAGGCATAACAACATCATAACACCATAAACAATATACCTCTATCGATTAATACAACATACCCTTTTGTATTCTACGAGTAACGGGTACAAAGAGAAGGAACAGAGTGCGACTGCCTGGAACATCAACAGTAGAGAACAAAGCCATAAAAACAATGGAGGATGGAAGTCAAATGTGACTGAGTAAGAAAAAGGAAAACTTGACTTTGATACTCGTACGTACATCCCATGGACAAAGCAATTAGATTTGGCATTGTTAGCAGCTATGCCACATCATTTACATTTATTCCCTAGTCAAATTCACATACCACATGATAATGTTGTACAAAAATGAGAATGCCTTCTTCAATTTGCTGAAGAAGGACACCTGCGGAACGTTATATTCTTCAGCATCATCAGAATCGTCAACCTTTTCCTTAGAGACTTCCACTGTTTCGCCTATTTTTTCTGGGTGTGAAGAACGACTACAACTCTCATCTACTCCCAAGCCTGTAAGGTGGCTTAGGCTTTTTCCAGAATGTTCACAGGAAGCTGTAGAATAGATAAAATATATCTACACTGTCTTCGATCCCAGCATTCCTTAACAATGGTTTTACTTACAAGCATTTGTCCCATAATTGGAAATAGTGGCCAAAACCACCAGCATCAGCAGCAAAGCCAACGAAATGTACCGCATGACGATATTGGAGAAACTAAAAGTTGTGTAAGGTGGAACTTAAATATATGTGGGTATACGAGTTGCCAGATTAAAAGTACATGGTGGAACGGATTGATGTATTTCTTGGTCGGAAATGTTTACAAAAAATTTAACTATTTTTCAAAATTTTACAACAAACTGCTCCTTTTTTTATACCCGATACTCAAAAAGTGTATTGGGGTATATTAGATTTGTGGGTAAGTCGATATGTGTAACGCACAGAAGGAAGCGTTTGCATATCAGCCCATAATCAACAGCCGAAGCGATATAGCCAAGTCTGTCTATCCGTCCATCCCATTAAGTGCATAAATCTCAGAGACTATAAGAGCTAGAGAAACCAAATTTTGTATCCAGCCTTCTGTGATATAACACTGCCCACCCCCCACAGAACGAAAATCTGTGACATTCACAATTTTAAAGATACGAGAAAACTATGAGCGCAGAATAGAAAATATTTCTATAAGATTGAAGAATCTGGATCAGTTCTAAGTATTATAGCCAAAATTAACAAATCAGTTGGCAGTGACCGCGCAACGCCGTCCACGCGCTTACTCATTCTCTATCTGACTCGCACTCTCTCTTCGTGCAGTGTGCACCCTCTGGCGGAGTAGAGCCATACTGACTAAACCGTTCAACTCGTTCAACTATTTTTGAATTCCAGTAATTGAAAGTTTGTGCAGAAGGCACCATTTTGCTTTGTCAATTTATCCATATGTCCAAGAACTTGAAACTGTTTAAGGTAGCCACACGAAATATTATATTATGTAATTGTAAACATTCCTGATGCGTTTAGAAATACTAAAACGTTTAGTATCATGTATCTCTTAGTCGAAATATTCAAGTTCACCGTGTCCCACTTGCATTAGCTAGTCATCTTGTTGATTTATCTGTAATACGACTTGTGTTTTAGCCACTTTCCGCCTCCATCTGCCTTTTACCACTTTGCAACATCTTTGGTTGTAGAAGCACGACCCCTTCGACCCCTTTCAGCGTGCAAGGGACTGGGAGCCACCGCCACCTGTAACAAGTTCGTTCGATAAAGTTCGCCCTCAGCTCTTGGCTTTCGCTTTGATCATCGTATGCGTCTCGGGTGGCTTTTGCTTTTGACCCAGAGTTTCACCCATTTAAAGCCTTTTGGCATGGCAACATATTCAGACTTAACGGCTTTGCGGAAAATCTCTTTGAAGTGGGCTTTCATTTAGCCATTCCTTTTCGATGCCCCACTGTATCAGCTGTTTATATTTAGGTCCTTTAATTTATTGCCTGTCAGGGGTGGATGTGGGGAGAATAAAATGCACGGAGAATTAGCAGTTGATAAACGGCCTTAGCCGCTGGCTAGGATTTCTGTCTTTCGGCTCTTTTAATAATTCGACTTTGGTCGTGGCCATACATCACATGAATTTCGCTTGCAGCTGCAAAAATTAAAGCCATAAAAATCTGCAGGGGCAGGAAGTTGTTAGTTGTTGGGCAACACGGGAAACAGTCGAAACAGCAGCAGCAGCAATATTCAGCTTCTAGGGCACTTGTGGTAGCTGTTGTCGAGTGCACGACGCCGTATGCAATTATCACCCAAAAAACTACCAGGGCCAAGAGCTGTACATGTCCTCCGCCTTGTCACAGGTACGGAAGGAAAAGGAGAAAAAAACTCACACACATTATGTGCTCAAAATGTAAATGTCATTTGTACCAACAACTGGTGGCAAGTGTTGCACATTTGAAAAATGTGCTGCCGGTGAAGTGGGCCCCGGACAACACTCCACGTCTCCACCTCTCCATCTCTCAGACTCCATGAATAAATGTTAAAACACAATCGAGAGCCGTAAATTCCGAGAAGTCGTGAGCTGAAATAGGTGTAGGGAGAGAGGAACGAAAGAATAAAGCACATAAAGAGGGGAAAACAAAAGAAAAGGACAATCCACTGCGAATGGGAATGGCACAATGGACCCAAGAGAATGCAAAGGAGGAGATCTCTAATTGGTATAATAAAATGTCATAAAAGGAAAAAGGAAAGAGCAATGCACTATAGGACTCCAGAGGCGAAGAGTAGGCGGAACTGATGATTGGTTCAAGTCGAGAACAATAGTAATGCCCATATTGATGCATGGCTGTCCCCAGACAAAGCGATTCCGATTGATGGCAGCAATGGATGCACGAGTAAGGGATATTGATTTGTCCGATTAGACAGAAGAAAAGTAATTTTCCCAGCAAGAAAGAGATTTCAATCAATTAAAGATAATTTGACCAGCTAAATTGTCTACAACATCTCACTTGACAACACACCATCATCCAACCGAAAAACGAAAAGCGAGATACGAACGAAAAATAGCAAAGAATTCTCTAAACTGACAGCAGCTACTAAGACACTAAGCCACGCCCCCACTCGACCATATATCAACTGTCGATGGCTATAAAGCTTTTCCTGCTGCTGTTCCCAATGCTTATGCTGGTGCTGATGTTGCTGCTGGTCCTCGTTCCGTCAGCGCGAATGTACAATCAACAAAATTAGTTTCATTTGAGCAGATGGCATGGCTTGGCAGTCAGCGTCGACCCACATAGCAGACTCGGCTTAGATAGGTATAGGGGCTGTGATGGGACGCCTGTGCAGAGGAGGAGGACAACCTGGCAGAAGGATAAGCAAGCCGGCTCCTTTTGATTGCTGGCTGGCGTTCGCTTTTGATCTCTCCAAACAGCAGATAAATGATAAGGTGCCCGGGCTGAAAGAAAAAATGCTGCAAAGTGTAGAAAATTGCGCCGCAGGTGTGTGATGGACCCATCAGTCTCATCTCCTGTTGGCCCTGCTGCTGGAGCTGCTGCCGACTCTGTGGGTTGTTTTGGGGAAAGTAACTTCAAGGCAACCGCAAAGCAAATAATTAAAAATTTCCTGGCTATTACCTACTGCAAATGAAGTGAAAATGAAAAGTAAAATCAAGAGAAAAATTCTGCGGACATTGGAACTCTGGTGGAACTGTTGTGGGTGTAACGGAGGCCGCTGACTGTGAGCCGTTGCCAATTAGCGGAAAAATATACAAAAATTCACAGCGAAAACTAGCTAACCTGCTACGTGCTTGACTCTGTGCTGCTTGGTCTACGAGCACCTCCGTCCTCTTCGAGTACAAGGGTATGTGGTTTCGATGAGATGTTCGAAAAATTTAGTATTCCGCTCATCCGAAAGTGCTGATTGTTGCTATGGAGAAATATTGTGTTGCGCACCTGGAAAACAGGACTTATCTGAAACTGAACAGCTTGCTCACCGGCACAGATCCAGATTCAAACCTGTTCATTCGTACATTTAATTCTTTCTTCCAGCTAGTTTCACAAATGAATACGATTTCAAAACCAGTATATCTTATGCAACTGTAAAGTTATATGTATTCTGATGCGATCCGCCTTCGGCCTCGACTTCGGACTTGTTTCGGACTGCTTTTATTGCTTTTTGCTTGGAGAGGGCCAGGTCAAACTCAGACTCAGACCTAATCCACAAAAATACGAGTTACAACAACAACACAGTTGGACGGTGAAATTAAATCTGACCTTCAATTGATGCTCGTTTCAGACACTTAATTGAAGACTATACCAATGGTCTAATAGATACATACTGTGTATAAGCAAAAATCTAGTATAGCATCTATATTTTATTCGGGAAGTAAAACGAAGAATAGTATGCTATGATTGCTTTATGGTTCATTTTCAATAATAATTACAAAATAGTTACTGTGACCAAATTGAAGGTTCGGTTTACATAAAAAACACGTTCCGCATCACAATGAAATTTTAAAACTGTTTTACATACTCGTTGGAATAGGAACATTCAATTTCCCTATTGATGATTTACTAACAACATTTAATGTTTGGAGAGTGTCTAGCAGTCGGAATTTAATCTGTAGCGTTTCTCTGGGATTTCTATACGGAGGACTACCCACTGCAGAACAGAACACGAGCCTTGACAGCCAACCCCCGGCTGTCCACCCACCAAGCTGGTTGCGAGAGAGTTGGAGAGGAAGGGGCAACTGTCTGTCAACCTGCAGCCATAAATAATGGCCGGCTGCAGGCTGCTGGCGGCAATTTATAAATCTGTTTATTGTAACATCCTGGCGACTCGCGCATGTAATTTATGTATCTGAAATCTAGTTAAGCCACTCTCGTCCCTCTTCGAGAATGGGCTAATGAGGGTCCGATTGCAGCGCAACGGAGTTGGCGGAGTTGCAAAAATGTTGCCGTTTCCTTCCCAACAAAAAATCACCCAAGCTCCACGGTATTATCCTTATTTTTTTTTAAATTGCATAGCTCATAGTATTTCCAATTCAAAAGAATGACTGCCACTCCCACTGTTTGAATATTAAATGCTAATTATTTAAATCATATCTCTAACTTACTTTATCCAGAAAAAATGCAAATTAGTTATGACAGCAGATAAAAACTCTTACCGAGAATTTAATAAATAACAGCACTGAAATTATTTAGTATTTTGTATTGATAATTTAGCTATAACTCGGTTTAAATTGCTTCGAAGTGCATAAATTGAATATTTGTCATTCAAACAAAATAAATACATATTTTGTACATAAAATGTATTCATAACGAGCTAAAATTGTGAATCATGGCAGAGAATTTGAATATACTACATTTTTACAGAAATATAAGTCATCTTTTTACTCTGCTGCAAATTGTGTCATTCGTATAAAATCTACGGACCGAATCCAATTAAAGATACATAACTATCCACCCGTTTTGCGGTCATTCGAAAGTGCAAAATGTGTTGCGAAATGCCTACGGGGAATCACGACAGGTTTTTGTTTTTCTTCAGCAGCAGCTTAAAAAAGTGTCGAATAAATTACTGCCTTGTGCTTTTGGGACTACGGACTGGAATGGAGCTAGGTTATAGAGGATTTTAGAACTGAATAATGATTCAAAATGCCGTTGTAGAAATCGTAATAAACGAATATTTTAGAGTGTCCTTCCAATTGAATACCGAAAGATTATCAT